CGGGGCAAACCTAGGGCTACGCCCGTAAAATTATTAACTTACTAACACATCCTGTGCAGCAGGCTGGTCTAAAGCGCTGGGGCCATCTTCAAGAGTATCAAGACTACTTGAAGAGGCGTGCTCGAAGCTACTTCAGGGTCTGCGGTTCCAAACGCTTGTTTTCATGTCAGGACTCGCTTGCTGGTACCACTGCCTCGACGGTTCTGAAGCTGACATGGAGCAAGCCAGAAACATGAGTGAAGATCAGCTCTGAATATCCGACCGAGATCGGCTCTTGTTGTGCGAGGTTGGACTCATCTTGCGCTTCTCAACGCGGCAACTACACCTGAGAAACGTACTAGTACATGAGCTGGCTACACATCTCGGCTTGAGTTTGGGCTCCGGATATTGCACTGTCTATGTCGAGGTTCTGAGTTCAATCATCCCCCTTGTATTTTTGACCTGCTTCAACGTAGTACTTCTGCAGCTGATTTTTGCGCCTTCAAGATTACGGACCAAGCCATGCATTGGTTGCTACATGTTACAGTCACTGTGTATATGAGCTAGACTCTAGACCCCCTTCCGAGACCCCGTGTCGAGAAGAACCGTGTGCTGGTTCAGGCAGCTGAAAGATCCCATTTTGACCAATCTATACAACTTGTTAAAATCTGGTGTGGGCTAAAGCTGTCAAAAATATGAAAAAAGTGACCTAAATACTCCAGACACGCAATATGTTAAATATAGTGCAGGTCCGATCAACCTGATTAGGTGACAAACTGAAGAAAAGGGTTCACTTCACCGGCATGTGTAAGAAGTAACGAGCAGGCTCTCTAGCGGAGCCATAAATGAATGAAGTTCCTCTCATCGCCAGTCGTCTAGTACACCCTTGATTAGTATTGAAATTGGTATTGGGCCCAGCACTCATTGCATTCCGGAAGATTGGGGTTCGGCCGGATGGGCTTTCTCAAGCTGCAGCCGTCCTGCATTCCCCTGGCCCCTGCAGCCTACAGTAACTAGGTAGGTGAGTAGATAGATAGACGGACAGAAAGAGTGATAACTAGATAGACGGCGGATAGCGACAGCGATGAGGAGTAGGGAAGATGGAATCAAAGGATCGGGTCCCGTTGTTCCAGTACAGGTTGTGGGTGAACAGACAATGGTTGCGTGCAGCATTCAAGCACACATGCTCCAGCAGCCCTCAGCAGTCCAGCTCCCAATGCAATTTGTGGAACAAGTCGCACAGTGAGCAGCTTCTAGAATGGAAACAGCAAGTCCCAGCAATCGAAGATGTCTTAGCCTCTCTGGCGTGACACGCAACCTTACGTGTTGCTAGGTAGTCCCGAACAAATTCCTGCGGGCTGTAAATCGTTGCATTGTTTGAAGGGCCAATGGAGCATTGCTTTCAGCCAGCAAGGTTCGATGTAGGCACCGCCTGCGTGCAGACATGGTGGGGCATGGCGAGATCGAGCTGCTTCCGCTTGGTCCGGACACTCAGGGTGCAAGTGGATCAAGACAGGAAGAACATTTGTGGGTGAGGAAGGAAGACCGAGGCATAATGCAACGCATTCCGCCACATCGAATGGAACATCATGAAGCCCAGCATTTAGGTACACATGCTCCCGGAGACGGATTCAACCTGGCAGCCATGGCCAGGAACGTAAGATTGCCAGCCGGAGCCCCGTCAGTTCAGATTCTGCAGTGCGAGGGATGTGGGAATTGGGCCAATGTTGACGCGATGCTTGCTGGATCAGCGTGTGAGGACAGCTGCCAGCGCCGCAGAGTCTACGAGGTGAAGCTTAGAGAAAGAGTGACGAGTGGCTTCTGAGCAGAGTCTCCGTCCTTGCACAAGTGAGCCCGTGCCCGTCATCTGCTTAAGGCTTGGCATGACTTGGCTTTGGGTGGCCGCAATCGCTTCCTCTGCGCGGGCAGGTGCGCTTGCCTCCCACGAGTCATGCATGGCCTTTGCTGCTAGTGGGTCACAGTCTGCTCGCATTTCTCATCGTGAATTGCCCATGATGTCAGGTGCATGGTCGGCCCGAACATTGACAAGCGCTTTCAGCCGATGGTCCGCAAGAAGTCGTATGTAACGTAAGCCTGACACGTCATGGACAGCTTCTTCAATTTCCAGCGTGTGGGAGCGTGATCTCAAACATCCAGGACGATTACCCAATGAGTGAAGCGCCAGTCAGAATCGCCGGCCCGGATCAAGACCGCCGAAGATGGAAAGCCCCTAGGCCAATCAGAAATCGACGGGCCTGGATTGGAAAAGGCTGCAATCGCAAAACAGAGAGGGCCCAATCCCAAAACACGTGGTCCTGATCCATCCGGCACCTTTGGCGATCACGACTGATCTCATTTGTTAAGCTCGCCCCCTCTTGATTCTAGAATCTGCCCCCTCATTAGGCCATGGCGTTGATTACATCTCGTCGACCCGGCCCCTCATCAAGCGATGGCGGTTAATCTCATTCCTTACGACCTCTGCCTCATCAAACAGCCCCCTCAGTCAACGATGACGGCTGACCCGAACCCTTCATCGGGTGATGTCAGTCGGAACCAGTTGATGTGAGTTAGGGTTCAAGCTGCACTTCACCTGCCTTGTGCGATGCATCCTTGTGTGCAGGTGTTGTCCTTGCTGCTAAGCTTCCGGTGCGAGCTGTGAAACTTTGCACTTGTACTGATCTCGCTGAGCGACGTCTGCTCCGGACCTGCTCTGCTTGCTGCTTGCGATGAGGAGAAATTAGGCGATGGCCTGTCACATTTCTTGTAAGCCCGGCCCCGCATAGGGCGATATGGATGCTCACATTTCTGAAGCCTGCCCCCTCATTCTGTAAATCCGGCCCTCATTAAAGAAATGTCGGTCCAAAGAGGCGATGAACATTGATCACATTACTCAACACCGCCCTCTTCCTGGTGGATTGCAATGCTTCAACCTGCCACGCCTGATTAGACGATTGCGGCTAATGTAGACCCGGCCCCGCATTCGATATTGGTCTATGATGAGTGTGAGCATTCGGAAAGTGTCTCTCTGATTGCTGCACTGTGCCTCGGCCACTTCAAGACTGGAGTTCTTCACATGAACGAGGCGCTCATGGCCCATCATGTGGCCGCATGTTTTCAACCCGCCCGTTATCAAGCGATGACGGTTCATCACGTTTCTCAACACCCCCTCAGTAGTCGATGGCGGTTGACACGCTTACGGTTCATCACATTTCTGCCCCTCATTGGACAATGAGGTTGGTCACATTCCTAAACCCGCCGGTTCTGACATTTCCTAAACTGCCCACCCCGTCTTTTGGCGATGGCGGCGCCGGTTCGCAAATCTGCATGGCTGGTGCGAGAATCACGTTGCTTGAATCGAGCTTGTGCGTGAATCGGTTTGCACACCAATCGGGGTTCCCAGCGCGCGATAACTGCGAATGCGTCGGCCAGTGCGTGAATCGGTATTTCTGGTGCACGAATCGGTCGGCTACTTACAATGTCTATCAATCAATCTCCGTTATTCCAAGGCAGGTTGCCATCAATCAAATCTCTTCTGGAGCCCACATGACTTCTCTGACGGTTGCTGCGCTACAAGTGGGCTACAAGGGGAGACGTGTTCAGCCTGCCGGAAGCCGAATTCGAGCCTGCTTTGGGGGCTGATTTGATTTGAAACCTTCGGCCGTGTCTGCTTCTGAAGCTTTCGGCCACGATCTCATGACCAAATAGGGCAGTTTCACGATTTTGGATTGTCCGCGAAACCTTGCAGTAGAAAGACAGATCTTTGCAAGCCAAGGTCGGGGTAAGAATCTGTACCGAATGACCAGGTGTAGTGCTGTCAGCCTTATGTATTCTATGATTCGCTCCCCTCGGTTTTCCGATGAAGCCGCCAACGTTTTTTCGATTCACCGCTGAGCATGTGGCGACCCACCCCGCCCGCAGCTCGTGTGTTTTCCGAGATGGGGGCTTGATTTGAGCTCCACCCATGTCTGACACAATTTCAGGATGTGCACCTTCTGCGCTTTGTTTGTGTGCACAGCCTCAGTTGTTTAGTTCGGCAGATTTTTCTGCATGCGTGTGAGCGTGCATGAGCGAATTTGCCCTTGGTCTTGCATGCTTGGATGACATAAGCTGCAAGGCCGTCGCTTTTCTACTTCGTCTTCTGCATGCGCGGACCCTGACCGATCACCTAATGGCTTCAGTCGCAAAGCATTTGTCCGTAAGGCGCTACCTTTGGGAGAAGGTCGAGACCCAGAGACTGCAGATGATGCGAGTGCGTGACGGTCCTGATGCCCATCACATCTCGCCGCTTGTTGGAGAGCAGCCAGGTCAGCCCATGGATGCCTGTGCTGACCGGCATTCTGCTGTTCTCGACTGTTTCGCTGTGGCTTCTGACGGCCTGTACTGATCCAGGTGCCACTGCAGATTGATCCTGTCCGCTGTCACGGCATGCTCTGCCGTCGTATGGGCGAAGACTTGAAAGCCTGTCAAGTCTGTGGTCATGCGCGTGCGGGTGCCTGCTGCAGCCGTTTTGACAGGGCTAGACCTGTTTGCCTGACGCAGTGTGTCGAGTGCCAGGACCAGGCCCGCATCGGTGTTATGTGTTGCATCTGATGTTATCAGTGTTCACAGATTTCCAGAAGCTCTGAGCCAACATGTTAAGCGATGTGCAGGACCGTGGCATGGATGCGTCATGGACGACATTCATGAGCATGACGGGATCATCATCCGCCAGACAGGGTCTTGGAGAACCCTCGGTACATGAACGCATGTTCCAGAAAATGTGCGTCATTTTCGGATGGCCAGACCAAGGTGCTCCAAGCAGTTCGGGCCAGATGGCGGAGAGCGAGAGGAAACCCGTCAAGGTCTCGCGCATGCGACGGCCTTACGCACTGCGAGCTCGGATTCTGTTTCAAGTTTCATAACCGTGTATTGGCGCAGAGGCGAACGCCACTGTCGTCCAAAGCCACACCGTTTCGCTCCAAAACTGCAGGGTACCTTGGGATGGTGGGATTCACGAGGTCTGATGCAACATGCTTTCACCTGAATATGTGCAGGTACTGTGCCACCATGAAAGCTGGATTTGCGGACTCCATGACTTACCCATACAGCCCTGAGTCTCTTGATTGCAGTGGGTTGGTGTGCCCTTAACCATACGCCAATGCCAATCCCGGACATAAGGTTGCAAGACTACGTGCGGATCCTAGCTATAATGGAGACATGTTCGCATGCTTGGAATCGCAGGCGGGTTGCCGGCTTTTGCTTGTTGTTGTTTGCGCTCCAGGTCTATCTCAACATGGGAAACATGACCCCAAGTGCTGTGAGTGGAGAGGAGAGTGCAGGACGGGTTCAGGATGCTTTTGGAGAGCTGACTAACAGTGACTAATTAACACTGTTGTGAAAACCGGGCACGTTTTTTTCGACAGCACTGGTCAGACAGTGATACGAAGAGGCATCGCAACTCCGGCCGAAATGGCCGCCAACAATCCTGCAGGATACGGCACTGGAGCTGGGCATCAGTCCGTCGACAGCAGTTGCGAGGACGTGGTGCCGACTGGTCGTGTTGCATTCGCGGATGCGAGTCTTTTCCTGACCGGAACCGAAGAGTTCTCATTGATTTGCCTTTTTGAGCTTTTTGTTGGCCAACTCGAACCATGTTCGCAACAGCTACCTGGCATTTGATCATAATTGGTCGTCCGCCTCTTGCTTGTGCTTCACGCGCGGCCTTCTCGAGCCTAGGCGAAAATTTCCCAACATCACCACTCCACTCCACTCTGTCTCACCTCTGGTGTGAGGCATCTCAGACCCTCACCCATGCCGCTGACTCGTGAGTCCAGCTTCCCCACGGTCTGTGTGTTGGGACTCGAAGCAGAACATCACTTTGCTTGTTAACATCTTCGTACGGATACTTCTATGGCATTCAATGGATAGGGAGATGCCTTCAATGTAAATGTGCATCTTTGTCTACCGTTTTTTTCTCCGAGTTCAGTGAAGACTTGACCGTAGCTTGCCCGCAGCAGGAACCCGTGCCTGTGGCACCCCGAAGAGCCACACAGGACAAGAGGCGGCAGCCATCCAGAGCAGTCCGAAGTCCGAAGTGGAGTCAGCTTAAAAATGGTCCTCATCTGCCAGAACACTGCGTCTGCCATCTCGCACCCCCTCACCTGAGCAGCGATTCCACTGGTCCGATTCGCTTCCTGAAAACAGGCGGGATCCGATGCGTGGACTCAACGGGTGTTGCTTAGTTTTGCCTACAGAACAGCCGAGGCCAGAGCCTGTGCCCGCACTTGCTCTTGAGCACGTGGGTGAACTGTCGGATCGGAGCCTCGCTCGCACTCACGGCAAGTGCGCACCCAGAGGACCCTTCCTCACCTGAAAAAAGTACATAATTTCGAGAAATGCTTGCTCGTGTCGCACTCGTGCTGGAGATTCTTTGTACGGCGGGGTGCTCATGAGCGTAAGATAGCGTATGTAAGTAGACCCTTCTCTGGACATTGTATTCCTCTTGGTGCCTGCGTGCTGAAATAGTCTTTGACCAGACATCGCGGACTTTCGCAAAAGCTGCCATGTCGAAGGGCTGCTGGATGTGAACGTCGTGCAGCTATTACAAGCTTTGCACTGTACCAAGGTCATGTAGCATCAACACCTTATTGCTACCTCCATCGGACCGCAGGTGCACATATCATTGTTGGTGGCGGTTTGCAGACAGACAGGTTTGCGAATGCCGCCCGAGGCTTTCGACAAGCCAAGAGTAAAGAGGTTCAAGATGCAGCGGGGGTGGGGCTTGTCGGCATGCGATAAGGAACATGGAGCCGATGGAGCAGATCCCTCTCCAAAGTATCCGGAGAGACTCCTTCGAGGTGGCCCCTTGTGTAATGGGGACAGTGAGTCCTCTTAGTTGGCCGTGAAAAGTCCCGGTAGCTGGCATACATGGCTGTTTTGTTGTAAACTACTCTAACGTTTGCCGCATTTTCCGGAGGAGCGCCGATCGCTTCGTGGTCAGCTTCCTCTGCATGTCAAGCGGACGTTCATCCACTACGACACTTGTCCTGTTGGCCGAACTGTGGGTTTGACCAAGCCCCCCCCCCTCTGCCTGTTTTTCAGGACGACCATGAGCTGGAGCTTGCGCAGACAGATGGAGGCGGACCTAGGATAACCAGGCCAGTTCGGCGGCAAAGCTAAAGAAGTCGCCCGCGGGATCCAGTGCAGCAGAGCCTGGACTCGCAGAGTCGCAGAAGCGTCGCTCAGCTCTTAGCAGTCTTAGCACTAGCACTCAGCAGGCGTCTCCAGCGATCGGAGTCAGCGCCAGCAAGATTGCTTTCACGGCAAGCTGGTCAAATCATTCAGGCCAGGCAACGAGTCCTGACGAAGTCCCAAAATGCTCCAGGCTCCACAAAGTCGCCGCCAGGCACACATCAACGGCACATGCAAGCCTTGCGGCTATTTCTTTGCCAAAGCAGATGGGTGTCGGTGGCACAACAATTGCACGTTTTGCAGGGTGCTTATGCTTGTTCATGTCTGCCCTGCCTGCATCTACTACAGTTTTTTCGTTTCTGCAAGGTCACCTATGCCCTCCTGGAGAGCTGAAACGACGAAAGAAGCAGAAGTGGATCGCCAAGCACACGAAGCTTTAGGGGTGCCAGGGTCCGCTATGGTCTGCTCTGAGGCGCGCCATGCTGAAAGCAAGAAATGGTGCTCAGGCGCAGAACAGCCTCTTGCTTGCAGAAATTGGCAGGGCGTGGGTTCCATGCTCGTGTTGACTTGGGTTCATTGGTAGAGATCCAGCACACTGCTTGCGTACCACTTTCTGATCTGCTTGAACACGTCCCGTACAACCTGTCCGGGAGCTGGGTTGCTTCTGGCTTGTGTTCGTGCATGATGATTATCCGAATGCTGTTTCAACTTGATCGGGTGACGTTGTGACCCAAAACGTGGCCTGATGGAATGGATCTCTGAGATGCTTGTTGCATATTGCCCCCAAGTCACCATGATTTGTTTCTGTGATCTGAAAGATGCAGGGACAGACCAGAACACCCGAGCTTGACGCTCGACTACTGGAGAACGATTGCGATGGTGACATCAAGGAGAAGTGAAGTCCTTGGTGGCAGATTGCCCAATCATGTCGATGCATGCCGAAGTCTGGACGCTCCAACGATGCCCGAAGTTCAGCATAGGCAAAATGTATATCTGGGCAAAATTCGGCAGCGCTAAGGTCCACGGGCAACCGATGAGGCAGACGAACGAGTTTGATGGGTCACCGCGCGCGCTTTGCGCGCACGATGGGTTCGGAACTACCAAGAATCTTCTGTTGGCGCCGCGATAGGCAGAACTCGGCGCATGCATTTTGAGATGTTGGACCGTGGAATTTGCAAGTATTGAGTGAAGTCCACAAAGGGGACCTTCGTCTCTTTTTGTTTCAGGCCCTGCTTCTTGCGGTGTAGAGCAACGGCCCAGTGTGCCAGTACTGAGTACACTGGGAGGTGTTCTGGACTGCCAAAGCTTGTAGAGCTCAGGGTTCAAAAATCCCAAGACCCATTTTGCCCTTTTGCTCCACCCCCCCAGGGGGGAAGTCCTTGATTCCAATGTCGGTGTGATTTGGAGTTTCCCTGAGGTGTAAGCTGTGCAAGACTTGGGGGGTTTGGGGCATTTTAGCGCTGAGAGCGTTCTCAAGCTGAGCCATGACCGAACCTCTTAGCAGAGACGGTGCCCAACAGACTCCAGTTTTCAAAGGCTTCGAGTCATGACTCAGCGGATAGGCGCCAGCTGTTTGGTTGGTCTGCCCAGTGCATGAAATCAGAACTTGTGTAGCTTCTGTAGTGATCGGTTGGCTCTGTAACTGTATTTTTAACAGAAGCACCGATCCAAATGCCCCGTCATACCTGTCCGTTATTCTGAACTGACGGGACATTTCTTGGTCTGTGGCCCGACGAAAGCTTTACGGTCAGCTCCGTCTGGCATCTGCTTATTCTTGGTGCCAGTGAAGCATCTCGGAGGTCTGATAAATTCCAACTGACAGCAGTGGCACTGCTTTTGCATATCATGCTCTCCTGCTTCACGGCTCCGCCTTCAAAGATGCAATTGCATGTGGTTCACCGCGACAGCTCTTTCGGATGACTAGGCTTCATCACAGCGAGCCGTCTTTCTTCTTGAGAACATCCAACTTTACTTTCTGAAGGGTTTACTTTTGGAAGATGCCGTAGTCTTAGTCTTCAGCAGCACTTCAGCATCTTGAGGCTGTCGAAAGCATCCTTGAAGAGCATGTCGAATGTAAAGTTTTGGAGGTTGCTTCGTTCTTCCGTGCTTGCACATGTAGGCGGGTCCCCCAGGCAGCTGGAGTCTTGATTCAGGTGCGAGTGTGCAAGCCATCCCGAGTATAGCTGGTGCTGCTGCGGCAACAGTCCTCAGAGCTGCCAAACAACGGCTTCGGCTGAGTGCATTTGCTTCGAAATAAGGGATGGTGCTTCAGAGCAGCCAATGCAATCCGGATTTGAGTGTCTGTCACTGTGAGATGTTGGGAAGTAGATCGCTTGCACTGGAAATTCATGTCTACCCGGGCCCTGTGACAGGCATAATTCCGCGTGCTTCCCTTCAGCTCGCAGTTCCTGGTATCCAGGATGCTGTCGCCTTTCGGTTTGATTGTATTGACTGTGACCACCGTCTTGCAAGAGGGCCATGTTCCTAAGGCGGCGGCCACAGGTTGCCGGCCGCTTCTAGCGGATGGTGCCACTGTGCGAAGCCCAGGTTTGGAAGACCCTATCTTGAGCAGCGATGAATGGCGCCCCGATTTCGTAACTGCCTGGTTCTTCATGCTTGCAGTCCCACGACACCTTGCATGAATCGGGACCAAACAAGCAACCCGACAGAACGTTTCTGGCTGCCGTCACAACTGGGTCGGTTACGCGAACGCATTCTGCACTGCACACCGCCGTGCACTTGACGAACAGCACAAAACTTGCCGTGCTTCGCTACTGGTAGTTGCGCAAGCTGGTGCGGGTTCAAGATGGTTCAAGCTCGGGCAACAGCGCGCGTTTCCTCAGTAGCTTTGCTGGCGTCCCTCTGTGTGTGTGTGTGTCTCATGTTTTCCACTCGCTATAGTGCGCAGCTGGACCGTGTTCGTGGGGTGGGGGGAGAGAGATGGAGGGAGAGAGGGAGCTTCCCTCGCGCATAGCCCTGTCGAAAGAGAGAAAAGGAGAGAGAGAGAGAGAGAGAGAGAGAGAGAGAGAGGGAAAGAGAGAGAGAGAGAGAGGGGACCCGCGGAGAGAGAGAGAGAGAGGGGG